ATAGGATTGTTCAGATTATTTTCACTCTTTTGAATTTCATAAAAGTTAATTTGTTCATGATAAAAAGACTAAACAAACCTGAGCAATGTAATAAACAAGCAACATTTTCTGATAGCCATTCATTCGGCAAAACAGTAATATTTTCGAAAATACGAATAACATCTTCAGATGTCCATAAGCCGGAATAAAGCATGTTACATATAGCACCTCCAAGTTCTCCAAAGCAAGCGAATAATTGATCCCTATCAGCAGCAGTATTTCGACTCACTGTTCGCCACATTAGATACCCTGAGAATTTGAGTAGTAATTTATTGATAAAAAAGTAGTGGTAATTATAATAAAGGATTTGTATTGAATAACAAAAAACCTGTATACTTATGCTGCGTTATTTAGCAATGAATGAATGTGTTGACTTTAAACAAATGGTACCCAAGGTCTTCTAGTAGACAAATAATCCTAACAGCAAGAGTCACTTCGCTTTTTATGAGAAAGTTTTCCGTGCATAGTACCGAACCACTAACACTGATTTGAAGGTGATAAATTTCACCCTATGGGTTGTCTGTCTCGGGTGTGTGTCATTTTAACAAATAATCAGTTACTCTACTTTTATGTGTAATTATATTACTTTACCAAAGTATACCTAGCTGGCTTACGAAAGCAATTAGAAACAAAATGATCACTCTAGCTAAACTGGTGGGAATTCATTGAACATATATTTTTACGAAACTGTGTGCACATACCAACTTTTTCCTGACTTAATGCCTTCACTTCATGTAAAAACATTTGTTTGAGAATATGTCCAGAAGTAAGTACTCTTCAATTCACTAATACTTTCACTTAATAAATTAAATTGCAAAACTAACTCAAACATTTAACACAAACAATATTCAGAGTAATTCTCAATTGGTTAATACTCCTGCTCAGTGATTATCAACCTTGTTTATACACTTGCTTTTATGAAATTCCATTCTAATATCTAGTTAAATGAACGTTAAACAGTTACCAGTAGGATCATAACTGGATTGTCAACTTCAGAGAAAAAAGAAGAAGACAATGAAAAAACGAGATAAGACATAGAGAAGACAGAGGCGATGAAGATAACCGACAGCTAGCAACAATCACCAATCAGCATCAACAGGAGAAATCTAAATGGAGTTGTCACCGCTTTCACTTGCTTGTCTATACAGAACCCTTTCAATTACTGGGGAGAGAATGGATGAGAATGTGAAACGGTGGTCAGGATAGAACCGGAAAAGTAAGAGATGAGTTCACTGCTCTGAATTCAGTGTGAAGATCCACAACACTTTTTAGATGAAACAAAGTGGGAATTTTCCACACTAACGTCAAGGCAGTGAGTGATTGTGCGCGCCTCATCGAAAGCAATTCCAACAGGCCGTTGTAAACTTTATGAACAGCTGGCTGTTTGGTGCTTGTAAAAATAATTGAACGGAATACACTGATATTAGAAACGTGCTATGAACTGATGACTACGGATTGTTGGTTATACTGCCTAAAATCACTAGCAATGTCTCAGATAGATTCATCTTCTGTGATCTCCTAGATCGACCAAATCGCCACTATTTACGATGTTATCAATCTTCGGACAGTGAGTTATTTTTTCTTTGTATTTCTTTCTTTTCTTACTTAATGTTTACAGTAATGAAGTGTAACAACTCGAATTAGTGCACTTCTCTGCAAAATTCTACACTGAAATTGGATTCAGTTCAGATATTATAGTAACTTTTTCTTTCGGTCACAATAATGTAAATTACATATGAAATAGTGGAACAATATTACCAAGTGGATGATTGAATCGATATCCTTAATATGATCCTGAGTAATAATTTATGGCCGAAACGTCATTCCAGTTGTTAATACTGTATAAACCTGTGAAATACATCCAATAAACTTATATAATAAGGAATTATATTCTACCAGTGACCAAATTCTACTTTTATCCAACAATGCCAGTTCGCGATCGAGCCTATAACTGATCCAATCCCTGTAAACTAACACAGTTGATAACTAACTTACAGCCATTGAAGTAGGGATAAAACTTGAGCACTGTGGTAGAGTAAAACTCCATTATAGACAAGATTTCATTTTGATAAAATCACACTGTGTTATACAGCAATACTTACTAATGACGTCTCGAGCACAAATTATCGCTCATAATCATATCAAGGCACTCACACAACTTTCTGGCTTCATTTATATACATGGGTGAAAATCGAATAAAATAAATATAAAACAAAGTACATTCGGAAATAATATTAGTGTTATCAATAAAAAACAACAATATAATTGAGCAGAGAATATCCTTTTCGATAATTTCCTCTTCTAGCTCTACAATTATATATATATTGCTTCTATACACAGAATATTCCACAATAGTAGTCAATAACAATATTATTGTTTTTGAGATAGAACAGCACTACGAATAAATTTTGTTTGCTCTTTACTTAACCACGCAGAATGATGTTCGGAAATCCGAAGAGAAACAACAAGGTGGGAAGGAAGATAATTTCATAGAAACAATTAAATAACTTGCTAGATTGTTATAATGTGGATTGAATACATTTTAATATTATTTATTATCCTCTAATTTGACTGGTAATAATACCTTCCATATTTCTGGTATTTGCGTTGAGTCATTTCTGTCGCATGCGTTGGGTGTAGACTCGATGAACCAGGATACAGTAATCAATCTCTCTCTCTCCATCTACCTATACTACTTTTTAGAATTTCGACTCTGTCCCGCCCACCTCATTGTGTGGTTGTGTGTTAATGCATGCAGTGCAATGTAGTGCTGAGCTTCTTTCCAAATTACTTATCTTCGTAGGATCAATCAGTCTAACCCTAGCTACTTTCTATGCTCTGACAAGCAATCTCACTACTCCTGTTCTACTAGTTTCACCTATGTAGTTGACCTAACCCACAGTCATTGCAAGCTATTTCGCAAATTATATTATTCTCTTTAATTGGGTCCACCGGGTCCTTTAGCCTACAGAGCTTGTCCCACCTGAGTGAGTTTGTAGGTTTGTATGCCACCCCAATTCCTGCTTTATTGAGAACCCTACCTAGGGCCTCAGATGTCCCCTCCTCATTTGATGATAGGACTGACTGTGGATGCCTTAGATTCCCTCTTATTTATGTTATCATTATTAGTTTTCCCAACATATATATATATATTATCTTGCTTTTGACCTTTTCTGATCTTCCTAATGAATTTTATAGGACAGTTATTTGATACCAACGCTTCTTCTATCTGTTTCATTCCATCATTTTGGTCTTTTTTGTACTACTTAGTGCTACTGCTCGGTTTGTAAGATACTTAACTAAGCCTGATCTCTACAAACAACGGACGAGATGAATTAAAGTCTAAATATCTATTAGAATGCGTTGGTGTTTTATGAGCGCTAGTGTGCAGTTTACCTTCTTCTGTTCGTTTTATTTTACAATCTAACTTAGCTAATTCTCCTTGTTGATTTTCCGATTCAAATGTGAATTTTATTCCCCTCACTAGTGAGTTTATATGCGTCAAGAAGCTAGAGAAATGTTCCGCTTCTAACACTGTGAAAGTGTCATCCACATATCTCCACCATATTTTTGGAGGAGGATTAAATGTATTTAGAGCAATATTTTCCCAGCTATTCGTAAAATATCTGCTACGATAGGGACATTGGGGATCCTATTGCTATACCGTCTGCTTGTTTATATATTTTGCCCCGGAATTCAAATACCTTAGACGTGAGACATAACTGAATTCACAAAATAATTTCGTCAATGGGCAGCTTTGTCCTATGAATAAGTTCGGGATCAGAATTTATTTTTCATTTAGCCGCTTCTAAGGCCATACTGATTGGTATGTTAGTGTAAAGACTAGTTATATCAAAACTAACCATTTTTCATTATTCTCTAATTGAATGTTACTTAGTTTCCCTTTCATTTCATATGAATCAGTTAGCCTAGAGTTTGAATAATTTATGATGGGACATAGTATTACGACTAAGTGTTTTGATGATTCTTATGTAGGCATATTTCTGAAATCTACTATTGGTCTTATAGGGTAACCTGGTTTATGTATTTTTATAGCACCATATATTCAACTAGCGTTATTATTTTTAGGCATTAAATTAAACCATTTAGACTCACATAGTGACGGCTTCATTCTGCGTATTAAATCTGCTGTAGACTTCCTAATCTTATTCATTACTGTATCTACAGGCTTCTTAATTTCCTTACATGGACCTGTTTCAATGTGTTCAATGACTTTCTTTATATAATCGAAACTGCTGTAGATTTTCCTTTATCAGCTTTTGTGATGACGATGTTTTTATTCTTTTTAAGCTTAATTAGAGCCAATCTTTCCAAATTTTGTTAAGTTTGACTGTGGTTACTTTTGCTTTTTAAGAGTTAATGCACACTGGGTTCGAAACTCTTCTGCTGTCGTCTTATCTATTGAACTTAATGCTACTTCTATGTTAGGGATGACATCTTCTGGTTTTAGTTTACTGAGCGTTATATTGAAATTTAATCCCTTTTCAAGCAGTTTTATTTCACTAGAGCTTTATTTCCTTTGAATAGAGGTTGATTACTCACTTTCAGCCAGTATATAGGGTAATCCGATTCTCCCACATCGATTTCAGTCTGGAAGATTTTGTCAGTTATCATGCTATATGTATGACTAAAAGCCTAGCATATGACAAATCTCTGCTGGGTAGCTGAATTTAAATAACTAATAAGGCAGTAATACTCAGTAGAAAGGAAACAACTTCAACAGACCAATCAACACATAAATAAATCAGCATTCAGGCCTCTAAAATGGAATTCATAATCAATACGGTGACAACTACACATTAAAACTGTTGTGGATGTACAATGAAATATATTATTGCGCTATTTCTAGTGAACATAAACAAACTGCATTTATTTTAATCGGCAGCACATTTATCTCTTAAATAACAAGGTTAAATATAAATCTATATTCATTTAATTACCTCTATGTATTGGTCCGTAAAGAATAAATAAAAGTCTAAGTTGCTTTTGGATATCATAAGGCCTCAGAATTTTCATCAAAATTCCCGAAGCTTTCCAGTTATATCTTATGGACAGTCCGCCACTGGAGGATGGAACTTGAGGAGGCAGAGCCACAGATGCAGACGATGGCCCTGCGACAGCACTATAAAAAGAGAAAATTTTAACTGAATTAAGGGGCGACTAACTTATTATTTGCTATTTTCAATTAGAATGAATGTACATCCATCTTATAAATTGAATCTGCATTAAATACTTATGTGCATCTCATTCTACTTGAAATTAAATTAATGTATAACATCTCATAATAATTGCCAACAAGAAGTGATTATTTCAATCCTGTAAACTGACTGATAAAACAATAGTAGTCTGATTAAAACCATTATACAATTAAAATAGTCCAACGCAAAGTTTTTTAACTTTATAAACACCATACTAGTTTCATTTAGAAACTGAGAAGCGCTAATATACGACAAAATTTTGCTATTTCAGAAAGGAATAATGAAGAAAAAAATATGGAACAATAGAATAATAAAGATGACAAGAGGGGATGTACCGAAGTGAAATAATAATAATTTGTTTTATTGCTAAACAGTACTTGAGATACAGTGTGGAATTCTTAGAATTTGGTACAATATTGCATCTAATTTACTCGACAGTAGCTGCTGCTGCTGGATTCAACATAGAACTTGGCACCGAAGTGCAGCAGTTCGAGTTGCCACGTTCCAAATAGCACACAAAGGTAGACAAGAAAATGAGTGAAGAGAATCAATAGAATTTAGACAAGTATAAGAGTGAAACAGAATGAGTAATGGTAGAAAGGAATATGAAAGATTAAAGAGACTGAATACATCTGCGCCATTGACAACGATTTTGAGCCATGTCACCTAGTGTCTCCAGCCATTGATTCTTAGAGTCCCGAGGGCCCCAACCCGGAAGTCTGCATCTCCCTACCTGACTCAGTTTAACCTCGACAGTAGCAAAATCAAAAATTTATATTACAGGGTATAAGTAACCGAAATTGCTAATAGTAACTTTTTGGTATCAGCAGAGACAATAAAGTCAAAAATGTAGAAAAAAAATGTAAGTTGATATTAATAATAATAACAAATTATAAGACAACTGAAATGATATGACCATAAATTACAATTAGGAGAAGTTCAAAGAGCCATTCATTTTGTTGATTACACAGTAAGTAGTGAGTTCCACGCTTAATACTTGCACTGACACATAGAACGTGGGTCAGGTAGAGTATCATTGAGTTTCTGTAGTTAGTTGTGCGAGCAAATAATGACTTCTAGTCTTACCTACCTGATGGGATGCAAGGGAAGAGTTTTGAATAGAGAGGGTATTGAGAGTCAGACATTATGGATTTGGACAATTTCTCGCATGAGTTTAGATGTCTGTTGGCTACAGTATTGACGAGCTTACTTGGTGGCACACCACTTGACCTACTGACAACCTTTAATACCCTTCGCAATATAAAATAGTCCTTTTTGAGTAGCAACAAAGAACAATAGGTAAGATGCAAGAGTTAACAAATAGTAAAAGTAGAGGCTGAATAATTCCTGACTGTCCCAATGTGGTAAGTTAGATGGAACATTTTCCTAGAAATGGACAAGAAAAGTTGGAGGATAGAACAATTTCATATTTTTTATGCTTGATTTAGTTTCCATTTCAGTACCCTCTATGCTACAAACAACCTGTGAACTGATCATGTTTATGCCTGAAGGTGAAGTTGTTTACCTGACATTTAGAAGGATTTAACGTAAGACCATTTAGCTCAGACAACTGAGCTTATGTCCGAAAAAAGCTGCTGAGTTTGGAACAGTCAGGTTGGGAAGTAACTGGCAACGGGTGGCCATATAATTCATCGTCTTTACTTATCTACTGACCGTAAGAAGTAACAAAATCAGGAAACTAATGATATTTAACAATAAGGTTTTAAAAAAACTACAGACGAATTGAAATGATACTTGGATAAATAGTGAACCAAGATACATGATACATGTTCTAACCATCTCAGGAGGCGGTCTTACATAAATATTCAGCTTAATATGCACAATAAAATTTAATTCAGTCAAACTGAACTCACGCACGGTATCAGAATGACCTTATTTTCAATAATGCATTCAAATTGCTTACGGATACTGCCATGCGAAATGTCTACCACTGGTGTTATGAGATATATAAAAATTGGATATTGTGTTAAATGCACATGAATAAGGCAGAGCCCATTGATTAATTTGGAGCTGTAGTTTAGACAGTAATGAACAATATCAAAAATGGACTTTTGAAGCTGTAAATTGAAAAATTGGTTTTCTCTTTCTACCTCCTACACATCAAAACAATCAGGTGGTTCTGAAAACTACAGCATACTTAAATAAAGTTGTTTTCTGATGCAAATTTCACACAAATAGCTAGAGTTGACAAAAAGGGATTGGACGAATTATCACACTCCAGCAGAACTTATATGTGAATATCCTTTTTTTTGATTAACTAGCCTCTTATATAAGACAGGGATGTGTAGAGACAAATATGCAATTTCAACAAATCCCTTTAGAGTGAGACAATTTGAAAAGAATGTTCAAATAGGAGATGCAATAAGTTGGGAAGATCAAATGTAAGTGCAAGAACAAACACTAGTATTACAAATATAACTCAATATAAATAAACTAACCGAAATGAGTTTGTGGTTTCTTCATCCTCAACAACTAGTGAGTTGTCACCCGCCAATGAAAAATTTTCGTTTTGAAAAGCGGGAGAGAACACCTTATGATTATCTTCATGGACAAATGGTAAGGCAACAGGATCCAAGAAGACCTTTCTTATAAAAAGACGGATAGCCAGTTCAGAACGATGATCTACACCTAAGAACAGGTTATTATTATTATTATTAAAGAATTTGTGCTATGAACAATTCCCTAGAAAATGAGTAACGTTCAACAGTTTTATGTTAAGAACTAGTAAAGATTGAAGTTCAACTATAAAGTAAGGCTTCACAAACATCGTGGTTTGCACAACTAAAGTGACATTTTTAGTGCTCCTTCACAACTAAACAGAGCTAAAAATGATAACTCACACCACTCAGCAGTTTATATTTTTGATTTTTTAAATTTAGTTCTCTGATGTCACTCCAAGTGTTTAGCAGCCCACTTATTTCCTTCTACAGGAGTTCACAATTAGGTTACCTCTAACTGCATCAGTTTTACGATGAACACAAAGTTTTATAAGCATTTTTTGCATCACTAAAGTATCGATAGACTAACCACATACTGTATGCCTGGAAACAGACAGTGGTACATTATATATTTCAAACTTCGAATAGATATCAGTATCCCATAAAGTCCGTGCCACTGTTTCAATAAATGAATGTTGTATATCTTTATGGTTGAAATATAAGTCATATTTGGCGACAATCAGTTTACTACTGATTATTGTTCACCACATAGCCATATCTTAAGACTGTCATCAAAAATATTGGCATTACTGTAATCAAAAAAATGTTGTTGACATCCTCATAATATTTTGCATGGGAAGAGCATCTTATCTTCATATGAGCAACCACTCAATAGTGCTTTCTAGGTAAATTAAAAGGATCACCCAGTTAGGGATAATCTCATTCTAAGTTTATCCGAATTCATTCAATACATAGAGGTCCAATATTCCAACCGCTTTAATTTTGAATAACTACTTGACCGAAAACAGTGCCGTTTGTAAAAATATGGTCTGTGTTAGGATGTGAATTTATAAATAAAAATACTTTGCGATAAGCCACTCTAAACAGTTGATATCAACGTTTTACTTATACTCGCTACAAACACACTTTCTTGTTTATCTACACACAAGTTCTGTTAAAAAACAAATAAACTAATGAGAAATGAGTGGTTACCTGGTCGTTGTCGTAGAACACGTGAAAGCCGTAACCGAAAATTTTCATTGAAGCACATATGAACCAGTGTCTTGTGAACACGATTAGTGTCATTTTTGCTCCAGGTAAATGTGAGTTTGTCTAAGAAGATACCGTAAAAGTAAAGAGACGGACATCTAAAACACGGCATGCGGCAAATACTGGGATATCGGCCATAAACTCGAGACCTCGGCTTTTCTCGTGGAAACAGGTAATTAGACTGCGGTAGATGCTGAAATAAATTTGCATTCTAGTGTAGTACTTTTAATGCTTAATAATGGCAAAGATCACAAAATATGTCATTTCGATCAAAACACAGGCCAGACTATTTGTTAACTACAGATATACTCCGGCTGTATTTTTATTTGTAACACATGTAACGTATTCATCTGCTTTATGTGACCTTATTTTATTTACATATAAAGACAAATCAGCAAAGCTGAATTTCTGTTTAGCACTTCATTTACCTAATGGATCCTTGCAAAAACGTTTGAACGCAGTATTTCGTATACCACTCACGCATCAATTGGAATAAACGGCATCCCAGTAGATAGCGACATTGTTCCTTAGATTTGAATCCAAAACCTATAGCTTATGTGTTCCCCTCTAAAGTAATTACTCACAAAAGGACCTCTTTAAAACTTAATTCAGTTATTTGTACTCGTTCATTTCACTGGACATTATTAGTCAACTTTATTTGTCAACAAGAAAATGATACCCAATTTGAAACACAGAAAAACTTTGCACATTACCATACGTTTACATTTTGCTGGGATAAAAATGAAAAACATTACATAGTATGACTAGTTGGCCGTAGACTGGTATTACATTTTTTTTAAATAAGGTAAATCTGAGACTAAAATTAATCATTGTCGACATTTCCGTTTGAAATATTGGGTGGTACAAGCAATGTTCTCAGAAAAACTTATCAACTGTTGACTAAGAAATTCTCAGCATCAGCAAAGAAAACTCCTTTGTCATTTACTAGCATATTTCATCTTTGAAACCGTCGTGGTATCTGACTGTCTATTAAAAGGGTATTGGAGTGTTCACCTGACTCTTCTGTCCTACTTTCTCAGTGCAAGACATAGTCACAGTTAGAACTACAACAATAATTACAGGTTTTCGAATATCCATCCTACTGTTCACATTGAGTGGGACACTGCAGTGAACAATATTTATGGGAGATGTTAAATAATTATGGTAAACCTATCAATGAGGTAGTGAGCCATCTGTTTAAATGGTCAGAACATTTGCTGAACATGGTAAGGCAATTTTCATGAGTGCAGTTAGTTGAAGTAAGATAAATTAGAAAAACGGTAAAGGATGATCAAAACAAATCGGCATCAATCTACGAAACTATTGAGTTCTGTAGGCAGGTGGAGGTTTTCTCAGTGGGGATCTCCGAAACGTCATAAACCAATGTGAGAGACTCAAACGTTTTGGGCTAGGGCATATTTATTCACTATTTATGATCCTCGAAATTGTAAACGTTCTTGTAAGTCTTCCTTTCTTCATTACTTTTCTCCTTTCACATATTTTCCAATTGTAGTGTTATTCTGTTTCTCTTAGGTTGTGTTCTTCTAAACCGGAAACTTGAACTCATACTCTTCTGCTCAAGATTCCATGTTGACGAGTCAACCAGTCTGTCAAAATCAATGACACTTTCAAGTAGACAAGTTACTTGCCGAATTAAGGGAATTTTATTTCCCAGAAATGGGAGTAAATGTAGGCCTGTTATAAAATAAAAATTATCGAATGACATACAGAATAGGTACCGAGAGTTTTTAATTTTCCATACAATGCAAAAACAATTCTTTTACCTCAAACCATAGAGTTCTCTGGGTCAACTGCGGTGCATTTCCACCATGAATTTACGGGCAAAACTTTTCTCACAGCTCAGGGTTCACAGTATTTTTAATTAAAACTAAGGACAGTAAGTATACATGAATATGCCTCAAACAATATACCCTGATAAAATCCCATCAAGTACCTTCACCACTTCAAACAGGCAGTTTTGATGCATGTCATACGAAGTGGATGCTATTTTAAAAATCAAAACATAGTGTGAGCCTCTTCAATTGAAAAGTAGGTATTCCATATATTTGCCAGTGGTTCAGTAATTACTATACCTGTATATTTTGACGACATGTGAAGGAGCTCAAGTGCTTCCTACCAGGCATGTTAGTAGTTCGACACATACCCTATCTAAAAGTGTTCAAGATCAAACACTACCCTGCATGGTTGCAACTGCTTAATAAGGTGTGCAATAACTGCTTACCTTGTTGATCCTGGCAATTTTATCTCAACAAGCTCCCCCTTCAAAGCGAAGAGCAACCTAACGAAGACAATATGCTTTCGCCCCTTTGCATTGCTGAAGCTGTGGTCATCCAGATAGAAAAACAGAGCTTTAAATACAAAACAGAATTCTTGAACCACTTCTACTATCATGGTAATGACCCTGTTGTTTTAGATCAGTTTATTTTCCTTCATTTTAACTCTTAATAACTCTCCTATTCCGTAGAACTTCTACACAATATTGCATTTTCCCTTTGTTTCTATGTAAAGCTAAATTACAACTCATTCGTAAAATAATTAATCTCATAACCCTAACACCTTTATTCAACTTCACTAATGTACTAATTAATATTAGTAACTGTGGTTATGACAGTTCATCTCTTTTTTGAAAAAAAAAAAAAACATTGTATAAAATTGGAATTATACACCCAAAAAAATTAATCCTCCGAAAGGAGCCTCTTTAATGAACTGTGTTTAATTTCCACATATTTTTGTATGCTACAGGAGGTTTAGAGTCTTATGCTTCCAATTAGTCACATAGACTAAAGTAAAATGACTGTTTCAAGACTTTAGATCTATTTATTGAAAAAAATGAGTTGATATCCTTTGCAGAACTATTCTTAAAACTACCTAATAATACTTCGAGATGTATTTCCAATCATGAAGCCAACCACTACTTAAAACTGTAGATAACTGAGGAATTGTCATGGTTTTCAGAAGTTAATTGCACACTAAAGAGTCTTTTTAACTTTCTGTATCCTTTTTCGACACAATCTAGTCCTCTAGTGCTGCTGACCAATCCCCTTCACGTTAAAATGTGGTTTGGGTATTTTCGTGCTTGCTTTTATCCGTATACCTGTAGGTCTAGTGTATTTCAGTGCTTTTATGTGTATCACCTAACAGAATGCAAGCTTTTGTACCCTTGAACATGCTTTTTTATCTTCTGTTATGTAAGGATTTTCCATAATATACCATAAAATCCATTAGTTTTCATGTAGTAACACAATTTCCTGTTATATGACCAAATTTATAAAATTAAATCTTTTTAGATTATATATTTAGGTGTACATTCACTTCATCGACCACCGCCTATTGCTCCTCACTTTGCAACACAGAATATGGTCTCAGAAACATGAAATGTACCAGTTAAGGCAAAGTTCAGTTACAATGAAAATTGTATTATCCATATAAAGTCAATACTATTACATAATATCACTTGGCGGGATAAAAGAATTAAATTATTTCTGGATGCAGGATCCAGTAGTGTGATAAAAGACAACGGTAACTGGCGCTGAATTGTTTGCTAAGTTATATGAGTGATGTACTGGTAACAATACTACAACCTTGCATCAAAAATCTAGTCCTAATTTCTGATGCGTTTATCTTCCGTTTCCTCCTCTTCAATTCTTGGTGCTTATATTGATAACTAAATTTCTTCATTTCTCATGTCTGCAAACTTTCCATTTCTCTGTCAAATATTTTGTATACAGCTTCAATGACACCTTGGTTTCTGTAATGTCTTCATACCCAACTTCAGCATCCCGGTGTGTTCGGATTTTTCTGTTTCTGTTTGACTGTTCTTCTGGTAGTATAAACATGCCGTGTCTCTCAGTGATAAGCTATGGTATTTTCTACTTCGAGTAGAATTTACTTGAACCTGACCTGCCTCTTGCAGTGTATTTTCATTTTCTGACCTTTAATTTCTGACTTTAAATGCATATTTATATCCTCCAGTTATTGGTGTGACCAACTCATACTTTTATTGGAAGACCTGGTTTCCTTCTAAGCATCAACTGAAAAGACGGTTTATTTATTGTTCCTTGAAAACAGATTAAGTGTGCCAATATTGCTGGAAGTTCTGTCTATCAGTCACCTCCTTTTGAAGCTAACTACCTGTCTAGTGCGTCGTCAGCATCCCCTGTAAAACCACTCATCTTGGAGTAGCGTCTTGCCGTCCTATTAGTCTTAATACCTAGGCGCTGCATTTACTTCAAAACAAGCACCCTAATGTGTTAGTACTTAGTTTGTAACGCTGCAGTCTGTACCATTGTACTAAATATCTGTCTGTTATTACATAGTAGCACTGGTTCATAATCGTAGCATATTGTCGTCACTAGGTATTTGTGACAGTGAGCTCATTACGTCCAGTTACCACAAACTAACTTGTTTAAAACAAGTAAACAGTCCTTTAACACACTGGCATGAAAGATTGTGCTTGTGTACACAGTACTCTATACTTATACCGATGTTTCATTATCAGTTAGTGTATTTTACATGATGTGAATCTTTAAATATGTGAACGACACCATCATGCCTTGTAGCAGTGCTGAAAATGATAAACTGATTTGACCAGCCATACGATACCACTTCACTGTTCACCCCAGCAGGTCTTATGACCGGTATATTACATTTATGATCGACAGTATTCATAAGATTTTGCGTTCTACTTTAATATTCGCCTTAAAGGATTATGTGGTTTAAGTGCTCCAAACAAACTAATGATTACCTCAGAAAAATGTGGATTCCTCATATTACAAAAAAGAAGATTGGTAATTCTATTATCAATAAAATTTATTTTCATAAATTCACACAGTGTTATACAGTAATATTTACTGATGACGTCTCGAGCACAATTTACTGCTCATAATCATATCAAGGTACACGCACACAGTGTGACTTTGTCAAAATAAATTTCATCCATAATGGAATTATACTCTACCATAGTGCCTAAGTTTTATCCTTATATCAAGGAGAGTAGTATTTTTACGTTTTGAAGTAACTCCAGCCTTTATTGTGTTAATCGCATCAAAAGCCTTTTTGGTTCACTTTGACTGATTTAATTAGTTGAAGGATTGTTCTTTTATTCACTTTCTAGTGACTTATGGGGTTTTTATATTATTCTGTGTTCTGGTATACATTTTCGCGTCTGTGTAGTTTAAATAGCCTATACCGGCATGAGTTGCTCCAATAACTGTGGAAAACCTGACTGTCACTTTCCAGTAGATGATAAGGTGCACTGTGATAGGTGCAACCTACGGTTTCATAAAGTTAGCACTCGCTTATTACCATTGACCTATAAATGTATTAAGCCATCATTTCCGTGGGCGTGCAAATTCCTCAGAAATATTTAAGGCGTTTTTATTCAAGAGAACGTAGGACTTCTTGTGTCCAAGAAACTGACCGAAAATTTAGACGAGGGAAACAAGTCAGCATCTGAAATCGATGTCACCATTGACAATTTTAGACTAAACCATAAGATTAAGGTGGAACTATACCCTAAAGTATTGAACACAAAAGAGATGCATTGTGACAAATATCTGCTTTCAAGACACGTAAGAAACCTTGCAAATCTAAGAGGGCGAGTAGTTTTAGTATCGTAAGACCAGATGGCCAAACTACCAAGACGAAGCGTGGCGCGTCGAATGAACGGATTGCTCATAGGTGCGGTGCAAGCACAGTGTAACAAACTACCTCTACTAGGGTACTACCGAAAACCAAGATGTCGACAAACTACAAAAAGGACAAAACTGTAGGATCTAATAATAAGGTCTATACTGCTGTTAATACCACTGTGTAACCTGACTAGTTAAAATGTAGTTATTCGGAACTTTGAAGTATCGGAAGAAGTAGATATAGCTGTTTGACATACACGTGATCTAGAGACAGTTAGTTTTATTATTTGCGATCTACTCTCCGATACAACAAATAGAGTTCATGTAAGAAAGGTCATATTATTATATTATTGTTTCCTTTAGTTCTTAAAAGAACATAGGACTTCAGCCAGTCATCTGCATTGCGTTCGGTTCTCTGTGAAAGTTGTCACCTGGCTCCACGTCTGCCCACATGCTTTCGTCTCCTCTTCACATCACCTCCTCCACGTCACCCTCGCACTGACGACCAACTCGCCGCTTCCCGTTCGGGTTCCACTCGAGCGACAGCCTGGTGTGTGATGTCACTTGATGGTTTTCTCAGAGTAGGGCTAATCCACCCACATTTCTTCCTGCATATTTGTTGTACAATTAGTTCCTGGTTGGTTCGTCCCCAGAGATCGCTCCCTGTTGCTGATCTTTTCTGGCTAGCCTTCTGATCTTAAGCGAAGCATTGAGCGAAGACAGCTGTCGATGAACGCCTGTAGCTTGTTCGAAGTGCCCTTCGTGACGCGGTGCCAAGCCTCTGATGCGCATAGTAGCAATGATTTCACATTGGAGTTAGAAATTCGGATCTTGTTTTTCATGCTGAGTGTTGCTGATTTCCACACAGACTTGAGAGAAATGAAGGCTTGCTTTGCTTTCCCGATCGTCACTTTGATATCCTCATCAATTCCATCTGTATTCGAAACGATGCTTCCAGGTGGGTAAAGGAGGTTGCTTCTTTCAGATTTCTCCCATTTATGCTGATTGTTGTCTGTTGATATAACAGTTGACAAAATAAATACGGATGCCACTAAAAGTTCTCGACGACTATTGAAAATACTACCAAGGAATGAGATGAAGAATATTATCCTCAACAACGAATTTAAGATCAAGGATAAAAGGTTGATAATGAGGTCTGACTGGCCGTTAGGGGATGGGATTAAAACGAGGAAAGACGTATAAGAAGTGAAGGCTCGATTAGAAAAAGGGGAAGAAACCTTAAAATACCCGGTTCTTGGGCGGTGAGGTCTCGGAAACCTATGTTGCCAGGATCTCTATTCATAAGTCGAATGAAGATTTAGGTGTCTTAGTGTGCTATATGAACGAATGTGTTCTTAGGAACAAGCTCCTTGAATTAGGAGTATTGTCTGAATAACCTGATGTTATTCCAATTACCGAAACCTGGTATGGACCTCACTCCTTTCATACCAGAGTATATCTACATTACAGCAGACAGAGTAGTTGATCGGAAAGGTAGTGGGGTTGCTCTATATACTCTGGAAGACATGGGAAATAGGTCAACGGTCTCAGAAGCGCACGACAATGGCACCAGTCAAGCCACAGTTTGTGTTAACTTGAATAAAGATACTTTAACTGTTTGGGTGATTTATGGGATTCCTACCAGCCAACCTGACGACTTTGTACTAAGTCACTTGAGAGAGTGGATCAGTGAGAATAGTTACCTAATATTGGGTGATTTTAATGTCTCGCATATTATTTGGGAAGAATTAACACCAACTAGCTTGTATACCTGTTTCAACAAATAAATTACAATGACTGTCCTAGAATTTGCACTTGTACTTCACGTACGTGCACCAACACTATGCGATCGTGAAAATTACCCCTGTATTCTGAACTTAGCTTTAAACATACAAGAGGATGTAAACTACATTAGGTGCCTCCCAACGCTAGGCAGTAGCGACCACGTAGTCATTACTTTTACGTTTAGAATTTGTGATTTTATTCATAGTTCTACATCTGCTCGTCCAAACATTTGGAAAGAGGATATATCGACAATCCGGAATGCAGTGACCCTATCTGATTGGTCAGTTAATAAAAATGGGTTCTCTAGAAAGCTTGAGCAAGATCTAGGAAAAAATTAGAATGCGTCACTTCACCTTTTGTACTTTAGTCTACCACTAAAAAACTATCGCGTAAACTGTCTTGGATTAGCTGTGAAATAATTTTATTAAGAAAGATAAAAAGCCTATGGGACAAGTTCACTGTAACAGGGAAGAAAGATTTTCAGATAAGCTACTGAAAAATGCGGAGCCTTTGAAAGTGTACGGTTGATAAAAGTCGTATAGAGTACGAGAGACAGTTAATGTTGGACTGTGCACAACTGTTATATTTAAAAAATTAGCAGTAGCATACTGTCACTGATGAGCAATACTGGAAAGGTGACAGAATCAGATGAAGGAAAGTCTGAGAACCTTTCCGAATACTTCTGTGGTGTTTTTTAGTCTGATAGTACCATCCAGGGTATAGTAAGGTTACTGACTTAGCCACTTAAATGTCCCCAACTGTTGTAGATGACGCAGTGGTTCTTAAGCTACTGTCCAAACTGAAGCCAAGTAAATCACCAGGGCCTGGCGGATTCCGCCCTAGACTCTTAATCTCCTTGGCGGATATAATGCGTACTTATGGGGATTTTAAAAATGACTCTAGGGCTAGGCTATCCAGGGACTGCAAGCATGCAGTTATAAGCCCCATCTCCAAGGAGGCAATTGGTAACTAACTGCCAATCTGTAATTCTGACATGCATTATAGCAAAGATATTAGAAACAATCACAAAGGGGCAACTATTAGCTCGTATGGAGAAACGTGGCTTGCTGGTGGAGGAACAGCATAGATTCCGACCAAGAAAACCCTGCGCAAAAAACTCACTGTCAGCTAGGGAAGACTGGATAGAAACCAGAGGTAAAAACCTACCAATGAAAGTTGTTTTGATCGAGTTTAGATACGCATTCGGTAAAGTATCCCATTTGTTTCTCCTTAGAAAACTAAAATGTTTTGGATTTGACCAATGCTTACGTGAGTAGTTTAGGGACCATCTACTGGGTAGAGGGCAAAAGATAAGAGTTAACGATATAATGTCCGTATCTAGTGAAGAAATGCAAGGAACGGTATTTCTATTACACACAAACAAACGGCCGGAAATAATCACCTCAGCTTCCCTGTTATTTGCGGACGACATTAGGATCTGAACAACTGTGAATAATGATAGGTTAGTCTTACAAGGTGATGTAAATAAACTGGATGGTCTAACCTCCTGAGTTTGAAATTAATTCCAAAAAAGTGACGTAATGCATTTTCAGAGATCTTACACGTCATACTCCATAGGAAACAGAGCTGCCCGACGTTAAGGGACTTAGGAATTATTGTCAATCATGATCTGAAGACAACAGAATGCTGTAATGAAGCTGCAGGTAAGGATTTCCAAATGCTATAAGCTATTCGAAAGGCTTTCAAATGATTAGATGAGTCCATGTTTAAATTACTCTACACAATATGTCAGGCTTCAGCTATAATACCGTATACAAGCAGCTAAGCCACGCTGCAAGGAGGGGGCGGGAATCTTGCAAAGAGTACAAATGGTAAGAACCATATTAGTCAGTAGTATCTCTAACCCTCCTTACGAGAAAAAAATGAAATATTTAAATCACTTGCCATCAAAATACCGAAGTAGATGAATTAATTTCAGCATATTGTATATCAGACAGTGACTTAGGTACTGACCCTTCTAACCTTTTCTCTCCCTCTAGGATACCTTTGCAAGTTCACCACAGAAATATGCTTAAACAGAAGAGGAATAAGGTACGTTTGGCAATTACATTCTCACATAAATTGGTCAACAATTGCAGTTCATTACCCGAACAATTAGTATCAGTTGCACGGGTGAACTCCTTCAAAAAGAAATCAGATCTCTTGAGATAATACATTGCAAGGATAAACACAGGTAACTAGAGCCTACAGCACTTTATTATCTGAATCCGATAACATTTGGATCTAACACCCAAACCATGTTGCTCCTTAACTACTGAAGAACCATAATTTCATTTCCGTGTACAGCATTATTTCTACTGGAACAGACTGTGATTCTGAATTATTGCTTGTCAGTAGCTTTGAAGCCACATTGGTCTAAAATCCTCATCTCCAGATAATCAGAGTAGTGTAAGCATTTGTGTAGTGTGCCACAATATACCAAATGACATGATATACTGCAGACCATAATCCTGATACATTTACTAGATGAAGAGTGGAGGATGACATGAAGACGGCAAAACATCGTAACTACAAAAAACATCTAACTTACTAGCGTTAAGTAGGACTTCAGCATTTCTAAAGTACTCCAGAATGACATATCTTTGCAAATTATATTGAAGAGAACTCCTACCAACATTAACGAAAATGAAATACTCACCCACAGATCTATAAAAAGCAATACGCTGACTATTATCATCACCGATATCGTCTCCATGGTCGTGAGGGTCGTAGAATTGTGATAACTGCCGACAGGATTTAGATAAGCAGTACCTTTTTACTACTAAGCGAAGTTCTTCACAGGAATCAGATAAACATATGAGATCGTCGACTATGATCATTTTAGAAACACTAAAGAGAATTACTTGAAAGTAGCGACAAGATTCGATTTCTTATAATAAACGGTAAGGTGGACAGTAGGTAGGCTCCATAGGTGGACTTCCTATGCGAGTTCGTATAATATCTTTTCCTCCGTGTCTCTTGCACGATACAAGATTCGTTTTTTGAACTACAACACCGCTCCATGAGACCAGCGAAATTAGATTACAGTTTTGTAGACCGCGATTTTTTCAACTATAAACACAAACAACGACAAAAACAACTGCGATCACAAAACATGCGTCACCTTTTTTCAAGAAGACAGAAATTTACAAAAACGAACTAATTAACTCAACTTGCGGTGGCTGTAAAATGAAAGTCGATTGAGAATAACACGCACGCTGTTTGAAAAGGGAGTGCTTTTCTCACGTATTTTCACGTATTTGACAAATCGCTGTTTTTGTTGTGTTATTCACTTCAAGAACATTTCTTAAAACTTTAACTTGACATTTGTCTGTTAAGTTTTGATTTTAACCACTTATATAGTCTATATTGGGCAAATTGTCTTGGCTGTTCCAGTAGAAGTTCATTATGTCAAAAGTACCACAAAAATGTAATCGGGCGGAGTGTTACTTTTTGGTAGATGATGGAATACAGTGTAATGACTGTAAAAAGTGGTATCATAAGATGTGTACTGGATTACGTCCAGCTGCATACAAACGTTGTAGTGCTCCAACATCCCACTGGATGTTGCTCCCCAAAGATGACTTTGATAAGGGAGGCTCACGAACTACTGTCTAAAGCCATGGAACTTCTTGATGATAGCTTGGCTAGTAATAGTGACACAGACTACCCGTCTGAAGATGACGCAGTAAGTGCCATCATGAATGTTACCACACCGGCGGTTACTATCCCAGTTACCCCGGAAGTAAAACTTACTAGGCGTTCGAAGCGTCTTAGTAAGCGAAAAGGTAACAAAACTGAAGCTGTAAACAGCATCTCAGCACCAGAGAACACTGTAAGCGAAGTTAACCATTAAGGTGGTGCAGACACTGATCTCGATTGTACCATCAAAGACTGCAGCAGCCCTCAGAAGCAACTGCAGGCAGATAATCAGTGGGTAACGAAAGTAAGCAATCGGAAGAAACATAGTAATATTGACGGTAGGCAAACGTCTGTCACCTGTAGCCAGGCTGCATCAATAGTGGTGAGAAAAGACGTAGCCACTACTAAGCACGACAAGCTCTCCTTAGACTCTAACATAATTGTTGGAAATTTAGAAGAGTCCAAAGAATCTGATCCCGTGAAAAGGCACGATCACGACCTTAAATTAGTGAGTAGTATTATAAGGAAGATGCTTCCAAAGAATTTCCCTGGAGTACCGATTAAAAAGCTGATTAGAATAGGCAAAAGGGATGATGAATGTTCTAATCAGCGTAGATTGCTTAAAGTAGTCTTAGGTTCTCCTGATGAACGGAATCATCTACTGGCTAATGTACACAACCTTCCGGGTCAGGAATTTCAGTCAGACCTGATTTATCTCTTGAAGACAGACTTAAACGAAAAGAAGTTTTGTCCCAGCTAGAAACAAGACGTAAGTATGGTGAGACTAACCTTAAACTGGTGGGTTTTCAAATAGTCAGGTCTTGGAAACGTATGCTTCCAAGACCTGTGTGGATAAGCCGGACCGCATAGGAAGCCTGAAGGTAGTGTACACTAATATACGTAGTATCGGGAACAAATTTCACGAGCTAGGTGTATTAGTGGAAGACCTTAGTCCAGGTATTGTGGCCATTACTGAAACATGGCTGGTTTCTGGGTTAGATGACACACCTGAGCTATGCGGATTTAGTTGCTTGCGCAGCGACAGGGTTAAGGGTCGTAGAGGTGGCGGGGTTGCTCTGTACATCAACAACTCCCTACATGTTCGTTCCGTGAAATCTGAAGCGCATGACAGTGAGACAAGTGAGGTAATTAGCTGTGAAGTAAGCTTTGCAACTGGCACTCTACTCATTGGAGTTCTGTATAGAAGTCCCTATTGTCAGTGTGACGACTTTATTTTAGATCACCTCAAACAATGGAGTAAACACAGTAGATGTCTTATTCTAGGTGATTTTAATGCACCTCATATAGACTGGGTAGCTGTTACATCTCCAGGATCCGCTAATAAGTTTGACAGCCGGTTACTCTTGACTACCATGGAAAATGCCCTGACACAACATGTCTTAGGTAGTACAAGATTCGGTTCTACCCAAGGATCTTCCTTGCTGGACTTAGTGCTTACTCATGACAACGACGACGTCGATGGTCTAGTTATTCATCCACCTCTAGCAAACAGTGATCATGGGGTGTTAGATTTTAACTTAAGGGCTGGCAATTTAGCCAGTTTTCAACCCAAATCCCGACCTAGTGTTTGGCATGCTGACATAGTCGCTATAAAGGAGCGTGCTTCAACTGCCGACTGGTCAGTCAATATTGTTTCATCCATTGAAGATGAATGGGATAGATTTAAGAGTACACTTGAGTGGGGTTACCACTGATTTCATTCCCTGGAGCGTGCCTAAAAGACCAACAAATCGGCCACCATGGATAAACAGACAAGCTATAACACTCCTAAGACGGAGAAAAAGGTTCTGGAATCTCTTTGTTTCTACTGGGCTTCAGCAGTTCCGGCTGAAATACTGTGAAACCAGAAACCAGTGTAAAACCTTGATTCACCAGTCAAGGATAGCTTACGAAACCCAGTTAGTTAAAAGTTCACCAGGCTGCCCAAAACGACTCTTCTCATATATCAAGAGAAGAACACGTAAGAGTGATGCTATCCCACCTCTTATGCTTGAAGATGACCAGACAAACATGGCTGAGGATAACTTCACTAAGGCTGAGGCTTTGTCCAAGCACTTTAGTTAAGTATTCTCTGATAATATTGATACCAGCTTTGTATCTTTTCCAGAAGGTAACTTGAAAATGGCACCCTTATACATTGGAAAGGATACTGTCCTAAAGTGGCTTCTAAGGCTCAATCCTGGTAAGTCCAGTGGCCCTGATGAACTCCACCCACGTATATTAACAGCATTGGCTGAAAACCTAGCCGAGCCCTTGTCGGTAATCTTCAATATGTCTCTGGACCAGTCTAAATGTCCAAGAGACTGGAAAGATGCCATCATTAGTCCGGTCTTCAAAACCGGATCTAGAAACTTAGTTCAGAACTATCGTCCTGTTAGTTTGACCAGTATTGTTGTTAAACTACTAGAAAGAATAATTCGTGATGCTATCATTCAGTTCATTGAAGGGAACAAACTTTTCGCTGTGGAACAGCATGGTTTTAGAGCAGGTCATTCTTGCTTGACCAACCTTCTTTTGGCCAGAGAAAGTTGGGCAAGCCTAGCTGATGCTAATATACCGGTGGATGCCATATTCATCGACCTTAGCAAGGCGTTTGACAGGGTTTCTCATTCAGGTCCTCTAGTAAAGTTAGGTAGTCTGGGAATCAATAAAGTGGTTGCCAACTGGATTCAAGACTTTCTAAAGGACAGAAGACAAAGAGTACGAGTTAACGGGGTTTTATCAACATGGGAATCGGTTAAGAGTGGCGTTCCTCAGGGTACAATTCTAGGCCCACTTCTCTTCCTGATTTATGTTAATGAGATTCCATCGGTAGTTAAGTCATCCTGCTTACTGTTTGCTGATGACATCAATATATGGAGGGCTTCACACGATGACAGTGACCAACTTGCTTTGCAGGAAGATTTAAACTTGTTAAGTGATTCGTGTAAGCACTGGGCCTTGGAGATTAACTTAAGCAAGAGTGTAGTTATGCATGTATCTCATAGTCACGTTCACAATTACTCAATGAATGGCATTACTCTCCCAGTGGTCACTGAGTACAAGGACTTGGGAGTGGTTGTGCAGCATGACTTGAAAACAGTAACAAACTGTAGAGCTGCAGCCACTAAGGGTTTTCGAATATTATGGGCCACACGCAAGGCTTTTGCGAATTTTGACGCTGAAATATTTCGTATATTATATCCGACTTATATCAGACCTCATTTGGAATATGGGATCCAGGCAGCGAGCCCGTGTTTCAAATACGAAATAGACTTATTAGAAAGGGTGCAAAGAGTGGGAACTAAGCTAATAAGGGGTTTCTCAACTCTCTCATATGAGGAGAGGTTAAGTCGACTGGGTTTACTCCCACTGACATACAGACGACTTAGGGGTGACCTAATACTAGCATACCGTATCCTAGGAAATGATTTTGGAGCTAATTTATCTAATTTATTTCTTCCTTCTAGCACCAACCAATTGCGAGGACATCACCTCAAGGTTCAAAAACCACGGTCGAATCGTCTGCGTTTGGAGACCCGTTTTTCGCATCGGATTGTGAACCATTGGAACTCCCTACCGGAACACGTCGTATCAGCGCCATCCGTCGATTCATTCAAGGCGAGATTGGACCTCCTGTGTGTAACAAATCGAAAGGATTAACACAGGCATATAGCCTACTATCCTAAATAAATTGTAAACTGTAAACTGAGTTCTTCGCCTGTTAGACTTTCGGCTTTGTGGATGAGAAAAAACCCAAGATATTTGTTCATTCACAGATCTTTCGCGCACGCACTGCAAATTGCCAGACTACTTGTGTGGTCTTAACGTAGCAAGACTACATCACATCACCATACCACCTAAACACAGAGACAAAACGGTGTTGCAGCACAGTACAATGTATTGCTGTGACTGTTGTCGAGTTTATTCCTCACATCTGTAGACAGAGTTCTGATATTGCGATGAAGAATCTATTTTAGGGCATCGCTGCTATTTTTTCAGGCGTAACCTTTACGTTCATCTGTATATATCTTCAGATTCAGGAGGCATATTTTGGTTTATAGCTCATGCGGAAATGTCTCACTTCCATTCAAGAAGGTTGTAGTAGCTTCGAAACACTTAGTAGTCGAATAAAGGTCTAGGCGCACACTGCGGTTTCAACGATAATTTCACAAATCGCCATGGGACTGTTCAAGAGATCCATATATATACTTATATAAATGAGGTGAGAAATGGTGTTATCAGAACATGAAAACTTACATTCCCCTACAACAAAAAATGTAATGTATGACTGTTAAGTTATTGAATTCATTAATAATCATTACATCTCATAGTACGGTAAAAACTAGAAGCACCCACTTGCAATTCTTTCAATGGATGATCGCAATAATTTAGGTAAGAAATGTATAACTCATGCAAAGTCACTACACCGCATTTTCGGTTATAACCGCTGGATTCGGATTGCGTTGATAAAGATCCACTGAAAGTGAAACTAAAGGCCAGCTTTAGTCTGTAGTACAAAGTCCGATGCTTAAAGATCTTGTTTCAATTTTTACTTATACGAATTGGCTCTAAGGGCACTTTTGCGCTTTCTTGTTGCGCTGTCAATACGCACATACCTTGGGTCTGCAATAAAGCCATGTCCGTTAGATGAGATCAAGACGTATAAACTTGGATAATCTTTGGCTTTCAAATCACTTAAATATATACGACGCACCTAAGCATATTACCATAATAACCAAGACTTTATAATCTGATATATGAACTTGTGCACAGAGGTAAAATATAATTCCTTTTAATGTGCGTTAAGTCGTCAGCATTAAGAAGACACGTAGAATACAGAATTGTTAGGTACATAGGTAAACTGCGTTCACTAAGGATCGCTAAAATGCAGAATGTCACCGAAATAACCATTAAAATAGGAATACATAAAGGCCTCGAATTTCGCCTCGAATCATATAGATACATCCTGAATATCTAGCAAGATGCTACGCAAAATAGATTATGATGTCTTCAACCCTAACAATGATAATAAGACAGCTCCGAGTTCTCAGCACATGTGTCTATCAATCCAACGAGTAAAGTCAGTATGTGAAAAAAATGAAGTGAATATTAAACAAATAGGACCAAAATTGTTTATTAAGGCGAAAAAAGACTACACAAATATAATGCTTGTGAAACATATTAAGAAAACACGAAGAGAGCGGAAAGCAGACAAAAATCACAAAACCATTCTATGTATCGGTTTTGCTTACAGGGTAAAAACATTATTAAATGTATCTACAGAAACAATTTAACATACTTGCACACAGTTCATTTTAAACAGAAATCAATCGATCAATATACACATACACTAATAATACATATATATATGTAATATTGAACACAATTCCGGGCAATAATTTTTCTCCTTCACGTTCCCCAATGGAACATAGGGCTTCAAGCTTGTGGCTTGAAGTTTCTGTAGCATTGTTTATTTATGGGGTTGCTAGCCTCATACCTAACCTTTCCTCTTAGCAGCATTATTTCTGGCTTAGAGCGGTAAAGGAGTGCGTCGGTCGGGAATCGAACCCCGTACCATGTGCATGGTCGGCGAGCGTCCGAACCGCTATGCCACCGACGCCCCCGAGCGATAATAATCATGAGAAATGAAAACTTTTCAGTATCTCGCATTAGGATGAAAAATATCCAGTTACCAGAGCAAAGAAAGACTGATAACTGCTTCTTTCTGAACGCACAAATCAGGTTTCAGGCGCTTGATGGAAAAGGGCTTCAGTGAACTTAAGGAGCATTGAACTCTTTTGTTTATTGACAATTTTGAACGACTTTTCGACGTCCACCTCATGACCCGTGTCGAGGAGATGCCTGGCGATGGCACTGCTTAAAGCATTTGTTCCCTTTAGATGTAAGCTTTTTGGTACATGTTCAGAAAATCGTAGATATGCCATTCTTTCTGTTCTCCCAATGTTACTGCTCCCGCAGATACATGTAAATTTGTATATTCAGTTGGAGTTAACATGACAAGGATATCTATCGATTTTTGATTGCACCAGAGAGCAAGTTGTTCGAAAGACAGGAACGAGCTTAGCTGCAGGATAGGCTATGGCTAGTGATGTACTCAGCCTTCTGTTGATCATCGCTGCAATGTTTTCGCCTTTATAATCAAGCTCAAAGTAGATTGGCTTTTTTCTTACTGTGATTTGCTTTTCATTTGCGACTGCAAATCTTCCATACTAGTTGATGAACCTTTGAAGGTACCCATTGCTCTTCAATGTCTTTTCAAGAAACTCAAATTCTTCCTCTAGTTTCTCTGTAGAGCATATTCTTCTCGCTCTATAGTACAGAGTCTTGACCAGTGCTCCTTTATAGCCATTTGGACAAAAGCTATTAAAATGTAAGTATTGTCCTTTCCATGTGGACTTAAGATAAATTGACTTGTAACCAAGAATTGTTACACAAGTGATTTAATGTAAACTTTAGCAGGATAAGAAATGACTGTCACACCGGAACTCACCTAAGCAAATGTACACAAAACGCACTCCAATAACCAGTGTCTATCAGTTAAAATTTTCACTTGATTACATCAGCTTCCTAGCAAGTCCTCAATGGTTGACACGACAGCCGGCATGCACTTACAATACGCTAGATAACACTAGTACTTATACAGCGCAAATCCATTATGCCCCCGTCTACCCGACGACTCTTAAACTCACCTTTCTTTACTGGCAAACACAGTTCATGATAACTGACAGACGTTTCACTTTTGAATTTGGAAACGTAAAATTGACAGAACATACAACCAATAAAGACTTAAAGTGCGTAATGCATCTTCGAACCTTATATAATAAACCACTTTTTGTAAGGGCTAAATAAGCATTTTGATTTCTGGAGACGAACAGACAGCACATGAATTGTATTTAGAACTCGTTGAATAGTCAATCACAGAGACTAGTGCACTTGAGTCACCTAGAGCTGCGGATGACAATCATAAAGTGAATATTGAAACATTCCGAAAGCTGATTCTCTGAGGAAAATCGCAGTGAGGCCTTAGTCGCCACTGCTCCAGATCCCTTTTGAATAATTATACAAACACAGTCTTAAGTGTCAACCCATGTGATATTCCTAATAGATGAATAAATTTTACTGTACTATGTTATGACGGCATTATTTCACTCGAAAAAATAAACGCACCCCTTCGTTAAAATAGCGTTCAATTATATCATATGCCAAGCGGTAAATGTCCATATTTTGATGCTCTTGAAGAGATTCAATAAGATCTAATCCACCACACTCTTCAATTGCAGTTGTAACTTGATCCAAATTGTCACCGGCTGCTGCCAATATGTTTGAAATCCCATCTAAGACAACCTGAACAACTTGTACATCTCTCGTACTCAGCATTTTACAAAGAGGAGGGATAACGCGTTGATCGATGACGTACCTAACCTACAAAAAATTAGTACAATACAATTCAGACTGTAAAACGCTTTCACATTTTCCACTTACACTGTAAAATCAATGCTGCTTCACAAGCAGTTAACGTGGTTTCAGTTTCACTCTTCAAAACCTGACTTCCTCAAAGCATAAAATATGCATTCCACGACATCGCGAATTGCCTGAACAAAGTGTGAAGTCAGTAAACTCATTATCAATAATGTATGTCTTATTACAGTCCTGATACGCCTACTTCTAATTCTTCCCAAAAATGCCTTGATTATGTAGGCGGTACAAGTGTTATTCATGTGACGACATCGCCCTACTTCTCCATTTATAATAGATGACACCGGATTGGTTTGGAAAAGATCCACTGATTGTCAAACCAAAACATATATTCAGTCCATGAAGACCTCGACTGTTGCTTTGAATCACGTGGAAGGATACAGACCTTCTAGCTGGGATACTCCACAGACCAGAAATCAATGGCTGCAGACTTTTGTAACATGGTTCAAGTTAATACAGCTGGAGCAGTTCCACTCACTCTTTATGCACTTCCACATCCATCAAATTCTCACTTTTCCACATGCATTCATTCCTTCTCCCCTACGTATCCATTCACTTCAGTTCCGTGGACATTTCTAGCCTTACCCACTGTGTGTTATATGCAGTGTGGTGACCTGAACAACTGTTGCACATTTGTGCATAGTCCTACATTGAAAACCCGACGAGTCGGTTCAAGTCACTCACCAGTCGTCAATCAGCGGCTTTCCTCCAGCCCATCCATCTCCATCCACATCTGACAAGACTGACTACTCTGATGACATGTTTCCTACTGTCTTTCAGATTGTCACTTACAATGTTCGCACATTCCTGGAACTCTGACACCAAACAGGTTTGACCAGGTTCGGGTCGAGTCATCACTCGACTCAATTCCCATCATTGGTTGTTGAAGCACTGTTAGGCGACAGGGTTATATTAGAGTAGAGTAGAGAGGAGCTGGTCAGTGACGTGGTAATCGTCTGTCATCTCTGTTTGTGCACTGACAGTCCCCATTAAGGAAGAGATGTGATACCGACTGACTGACTGACCTCAACTCAAATAAACGCACTCGAATATATCTTGTCGTGCTAGATAAAGTTGCGAATTGCTGAATTTCAAATTGTTCGGTTAGCTGTGCATCTTTTAGTTAGTTTGTGCTGTGTGTTTGATGCTATTTATGTAATAGTTGTAGTAGTTGCAATAATTTTTGAAACTATATTCTAGAATCTTTCGTGAATAACATTTGCTTCTCCAAGTAATCCATATGCAGTCAGTTGGACGGTTTTTTAGATATTCTTCCACGGCAGGGTAACATCGCTCCCTCTAGCTAAGCAAATGTATTGCAGGAACTTCAAGGATCTAACTGAACTAAAATTAGACGCTTAATGCGTTGACGTTAAGGAATAGGATGAAGTATAGTGACGCGATATCTAACACCTACAACTTCTGTAGTATTCTTTCCACGTATTCAAAAATGCAAAGCAAAACACCAGAATTGATCGTCCAAACAACGAGTTATATTTCGGGACCAAATCGGAGTGCGAGATGACTGCTTAGCTAATTAACATAAGACGACAACGTGCCAAATGGCGTGGATGCTTGACCAGAAGCCTTCAGCTAAACAAGTTGACTTAAACAGTGTCGGTCAGCACCCAGTGTTCAGTGATGAGTGCTCTGGCCAATAATTCCTGGGGAATTACCTACCGCTACATAAGTCAACTGTTACTGAAAACTTCCTGAAGTACTTCAAGCCAGTTAATTGACTAGATTAATTAAGAAATATGGGCAATTTGAAGTATACTTAGAGTATGCTATGTTGTCATCTTTATCTCCTATCTTTCAAGTGTATCTAATTAATGCAGCTATCAGGCTATTCATGTTATAATTTGCATCTGAAATACTACCGTCTGTAGTGCTCTGGTTGCTCAGTATGTCCTGCGAAATACTGGTTGGTAAATAGCGGTTGGTCAGTGCTCTGATCGAGTGACCACTCTTCGTCAGCTAAATGCATATTTTTGGAACTGCTGAAAACAGCAATCCTCATATATATTAATATCAGGATAGGACTATTCTATGAAGTCATATCTTAGGAGTTAGTTGGCGAAAAGTAACAATGACGAAACTTTCTAAGATGTGTGATTAAAAACGCTGCAACTATGAACAATAGTTTGTGTTTAAGATGTCGTCCAGTAAATAAAGCTGTTTCATTGTGTGATGTATCATACAGTAAAAAACTGATGTTGAAGTACATACTACGGCAGTGCCCAAGTATTACACACATAAACATATCAAGTAAGACGGGGTTGTTTCAGTTTATCATTATCCTGAAATGTCTATACCGAACACCTCAGACAAAGTGGGATTATATATCGGTATGTGACCATTGTTAAGCTTTTCAGCATCCCCATTTACCTTCATGTTTTCTGTCCGTCGTATCCAGCTTCCAAGTATGCATACTAATGATTTAGTTGTGCTGTCAATACCATACTGACTGGCACTTCCAGATGAAGAACATATTACATTGACTGACAGCGTATTTGGACAGCATATTTAGTGAATCTGACAGGTCATAAAAATGATTTATGAGCGTCATTTGCAGAATTTCCTGCTGTCAGAAACTCAAATTCGAAATAATGAACGGCTGCCAGTCTCGGATATTGTGAGGTGATATAACAGCTAGATATGCAAGAATAAACGTCTGAGGTGTATCATTGCACTTACTGCCGATGATCCCATCACATAGGTGTCAGTCGTCGACTTTAATGGATCGTTCATGGGGCTAGCGATGTAACGACCTCACCACAATGATAGTGGATATTGGTTCCGACTATACTGATAAAATAATGTCTCAAAATAATGGGTGATATCTTTTATTTCTGACGAAGCTAAGTAGTCATTTTAAAGTCATACACATAGTGGATTATTAGACATTGAAGGTTGCAGGGGACTTGTTTTAACACTGCTCTAGGTTTCGGTTTTCAAATTTAGCATTGTACTATGAGTGACCAGGCGGCTGCCCGCATATTGTCTTTCAAAAATGCAGGGAAAAGCGCTGATGTAAGTAAGTTCAGTTTCCTTCTAACTTCTTGTCACAGGAAATGCGACGTCGCCGCCAAGAAGGTCAGGTGGAGCTGCGAAAGACTAAACGTGAAGAAACTCTTCAGCGGAAAAGGAACTTCCCAGCAGCTGGTGACCCTGTGGATACAGAGGTCGAAGCAACAGGAAAGTCACCTCTGTTAAACTTGGAAGCCATTGTTGCGAATGCTTCGAGTGAGGATCCTGCAGTCAGGCTTCTTGTTGTACAATCTGCCCGCAAGCTTCTTTCAAGTGACCGGAATCCACCCATTGACGAGCTGATCAATGCTGGCATGCTCCCTAAATTGGTGTCATGTCTAACAAGTGATGAGTAAGTTGATATTCGACAGCCATAAATCTACTCTACATGTAGCTGACTATTCTTTTGTATATCTTGCCTTTAGTCTATGTTCAAGTTTGCCTTAACAATCATTTATTGTAATAATCGGTGTCTGTAAATTTCCATATTCGTAGTTTCATTATGTACCTTCCTAAGTCGAATATGAGATGATGATGCAGGACTGGGATGCATCGACTGGACTAGCGTCCCATGATTGCTGACGAAATCTCAGCACCCATAAAACTGCCACTTGCCAAATTACTCATCTGTCTCTTAGACTTCCCAGCCGACTGTCGATCAAAGAACGTGTGTACTGAGCATCAGTTCTCTCATTCCTTTTTATGATTGTTGAACGTGAACATTGGAAGTGGAAGAGAGGTAGAGGTCGACTGCCTTTGGCCACAGGTGTTTGCATTCTAGTCCTCGTTTTGTGTTGATTAAAATGCTGAGTGGCACTGGGGGGTTTCGTGTGGAGAGTTAGATAAGGAGGGAAAATCAGTAAATGAGGCCGTGGATATGCACTGATTCAGACGACTAGGACATGTGTTACTCATATGAAGTCATCGCCCTACTTCTCCATTTATAATAGATGACACCGGATTGGTTTGGAAAAGATCCACTGATTGTCAAACCAAAACATATATTCAGTCCATGAAGACCTCGACTGTTGCTTTGAATCACGTAGAAGGATACAGACCTTCTAGTTGGGGTACGAGACAGAAAGTATATGCCTAACTGTGTAGAACATCGACATTCTGACAAAAGAAGTTGTAGCATGAGGACGTCTACATTGCAGACTTGAGTACACAATCCAATGCTTTGACCTCATTACTTTATACAGTAGTCTCAACTGCAATGCTGACGATATCGTAATAGAGAAGCTAAGCTAATGGATGTCAGAATGTTGGAGTCTAGTGGTCAGGTAATTCACCCCCCCCCAACAGTTGACTGGAAAGTCCTTATAACGCCATATCCACAAAACTCCTTTGACTATAATCTGCTGGAATGCAGTATTTCACTAACCCTATGACATATCACGAAGCCCACGCACTATGAGCCACAGCAAGTCTCCATAACCGTAGATCTGGTTTTCTCCCATGACGAGGATGTGGACCTCGTATAACATCTTCATCCCTTAGGAAGAAGTAACCGCACTGTGCTCGCTTTCAAGTTGACAGAAGCAGTGTAATGGACCAAAACCCCAGCTCGACCAAACATTTGGAATGGTGATTTAAATGCCATCATTTCATAGGCTAAGCCTCTGAACTGGTACATAAGTGTAGGGACAATTTGAGCAACTTTACGCTCAGGAAACCAAATCTTTCATCGCTTAGTCTGTCCAAACGAGTCGAAAACATTGTTCCCATGGATTGACCGAGAGATTTATAAAGGAATTAGGCACGAACAAAAGTGCTGGAACCTGTCTACCACAGCTGAGACTTCTGAGACCAGATAATGAAAGGTAGATTGGCATTGCAAAACGAGTTCAGCAGGCTGTCGACCAAAGATGTCCCGAGATGTGAACGCGAACTAAGGTTTTGTTACTCTTCTGTCCAATCTGTTTGCAATGTGCTAGCAGAGCAATGAAATCCACAACAGTTAGCTTGAGCCACGTAGGAAGGCGTAGACTTCCTCGTCGTGGTCCTCGGGACGGTAAAAACCAATGACTAGAAACAATTGGTGATATGGCTCAAAATCGTTCTCACTGGCCGGCGCAGATGCATCCACTCCTTGTGACTAATGATTTCCAATGAAACTGTTTTGTTCTTTGTTATTACTATTCCTTTGTCTCACACCTCTGTTTACTATCTCTTATATGCACTTCTTTCTACTTTCTTCTCTCGCTGTGTGTGCTACATGGAGTGTAGCGACTTGAACTGCTGCACATCGGTGCAAAGTTCTGTGTTGTAACCAGTCAGTGAGTGTCAGCAGAGACAATTTACTGCAGTATTTTCGTATATTTGGCAAATAAAGGTAGTTACCATAGAGTTCCACTTCGCAATGTTGTTTTCAGTGTTGCTTCAAGTCCTTGCACTAAATAATTCAGATAGATTGCCAATAACCTGTGATTCTTAATTGTAATGAAAATATCGTCGGTATTCAGAGCTCTGTGACTACACATATCCACTCGTTTACCGGTGGCACTTCTCTGTTCAATAGCGCATCCTTGTCGATAGCTTCTCATCGCAGGGTCGGTTTTCAAAGCACTTTAGATTTTTCTGAGAAAGTTAATTTGCTCTTTGTGTGGTATTTCTGTGTTTTGCAGTCCCAATCTTCAATTCGAGGCTGCTTGGGCGTTAACAAATATTGCATCTGGCACATCTTCACAGACCCTGGCTGTGGTTCATGCGGGAGCTGTTCCACCCTTTCTCAAGTTGCTGTCTTCCTCACATCCCAATGTGTGTGAACAAGCTGTTTGGGCACTGGGAAACATTATTGGGGACGGTCCTGTTTTACGCGACTATGTGATTCAACTGGATGTCATAAAGCCACTACTGAAGCTGTTAACACCAAACATACCACTTAACTTCTTGCGCAATGTCACTTGGGTCATGGTTAACCTGTGTCGTAACAAAGATCCGCCTCCAGCTATCAGAGAACTTCTTCCGGCCCTTCTATATTTGATCAAGCATACTGACGACAGTGTAAGTTATTGTCTTTGGTATATATTGGAGTTATCTGATTACAGATGATTTATTTCGCCTTGGTTTTGACCCAGTAATGTGTCGGCTTTTGGTGAATCAATCGGACAGCTATCACATTGTTTATTTACCTTACTGTCATTTAACATCAGTTGGGATATGCTTTCGTTGCTTGCCACCGAAGTGTATAGCTTTGCGAAGTAGTCTTGAAAGTGATACAGAAAATAATTTTGTAGTGTGTCAGCATAGAATGTAGATAATGTATAGTGGGAAACTACCATGGCGTAAGGAACTGTTCTGCGGAGCATGGTCGCAAACAGTTAGAAAGGTTTCCAATCTGCAAAACCCCCACTCATGTTTTGCGAAGCAAGTGGTGATAATAGTCACGGCAGTAATCTCTGATATGTTATGAAAGGGTTTGGACATGTGCATAGCCATCAGTTCCCTTGACATACAAGGTCGACTCTAGTGGAATTCCCGTATTGGAAATAATGTTAAGGGGCGGAAAAATTTATTTAAGGATCATTTGATCTCAAGCCTTACTTCACTGGTCCTCAGTATCATTTTGACCCGTTTAGTAAAATACTTTTGAATACATATTGATACATATTTTGTGCTTGTTGGTCTGTTTGCAGATACTCGTGGATACCGTGTGGGCTATATCCTATTTAACTGATGGAGGGAACGATCAGATAGAAATGGTAATTAATGCAGAGATCGTGCCTCACTTGGTCCCGTTGTTGTCACACTCAAGTTTCAAGGTGCAAACCGCTGCACTGCGTGCTGTTGGCAACATTGTTACGGGTTCGGACCAGCAAACACAAGTTGTTCTGGATTGTGGAGCTCTGAGTCATTTTCCTGCTTTGTTAACCCATCCAAGAGATAAAATAAACAAGGAGGCTGTGTGGTTTCTGTCCAATATAACTGCAGGAAACCAAAGTCAAGTGCAAGCTGTAATTGATCATGGTCTAGTTCCACTCATTATTCATCATCTGTCCGAGAGTGAATTCCTAACACAGAAGGAAGCTGCATGGGCCATTTCTAATTTGACGATCAATGGAAATGCAGAACAGGTATGTAAATATCCGATTGTCTTAATAACAAAGTCTCATGTCAACTACAAACTGAAAGTTCATTCACTGGATTGACCTAAGAGACTGGTTCCTGACTGTTAAACACGAAAGATTCTAGAATATAGTTTCAAAAATTATTGCAACTACTACAACTATTACATAAATAGCATCAAACACACAGCACAAACTAACTAAAAGATGCACAGCTAACCGAACAATTTGAAATTCAGCAATTCGCAACTTTATCTAGCACGACAAGATATATTCGAGTGCGTTTATTTGAGTTGAGGTCAGTCAGTCAGTCGGTATCACATCTCTTCCTTAATGGGGACTGTCAGTGCACAAACAGAGATGACAGACGATTACCACGTCACTGACCAGCTCCTCTCTACTCTACTCTAATATAACCCTGTCGCCTAACAGTGCTTCAACAACCAATGATGGGAATTGAGTCGAGTGATGACTCGACCCGAACCTGGTCAAACCTGTTTGGTGTCAGAGTTCCAGGAATGTGCGAACATTGTAAGTGACAATCTGAAAGAGAGTAGGAAACATGTCATCAGAGTAGTCAGTCTTGTCAGATGTGGATGGAGATGGATGGGCTGGAGGAAAGCCGCTGATTGACGACTGGTGAGTGACTTGAACCGACTCGTCGGGTTTTCAATGTAGGACTATGCACAAATGTGCAACAGTTGTTCAGGTCACCACACTGCATATAACACACAGTGGGTAAGGCTAGAAATGTCCACGGAACTGAAGTGAATGGATACGTAGGGGAGAAGGAATGAATGCATGTGGAAAAGTGAGAATTTGATGGATGTGGAAGTGCATAAAGAGTGAGTGGAACTGCTCCAGCTGTATTAACTTGAACCATGTTACAAAAGTCTGCAGCCATTGATTTCTGGTCTGTGGAGTATCCCAGCTAGAAGGTCTGTATCCTTCCACGTGATTCAAAGCAACAGTCGAGGTCTTCATGGACTGAATATATGTTTTGGTTTGACTATCAGTGGATCTTTTCCAAACCAATCCGGTGTCATCTATTATAAATGGAGAAGTAGGGCGATGTCGTCACATGAATAACACTTGTACCGCCTACATAATCAAGGCATTTTTGGGAAGAATTAGAAGTAGGCGTATCAGGACTGTAATAAGACATACATTATTGATAATGAGTTTACTGACTTCACACTTTGTTCAGGCAATTCGCGATGTCGTGGAATGCATATTTTATGCTTTGAGGAAGTCAGGTTTTGAAGAGTGAAACTGAAACCACGTT